AGGATTGTGAGGGAAAAAGCACATAAAACACTAACCAGCTCAAACTGGTTTTGCTTCTTTAAAACAGGTTATTTTAATCAAGCCTTGCCTAATAACAGAGATGGCACTGCCCATGTGCCAGGTGGGAACCAATAGCCCTAGGTTGACCCCGAACGATTGGAGCCCTTTAAGAAGCAAGAAGTCCCTCAATAAGGAAAATCCTGCATCCAGGTAGCTTGATTACCTTATATGGCCTGATTTGAGACTGGCCAATCAGCTTACAGATGCAATTTAGTAACCCTTAACTCCTTAAATTTCACCCTGAATCTTGGATTGAGGAGCCGGAGTTGAGAGCCTTGCCTCCTGTCTCCTTGCTGGTCGACCTCTCAATGAAGCTCTTTCTTTTCTCAAAAGCTGGTGCCATAGTATTGGCTTCTGTGTGTCTCAGGCAGTGAACTGTTGCTCAGTAACATGAGTCTAGTGATATAATTTGCTTAGATGTCAGTGGATATGTGAACTTTAATAATTCTATTAGCCCGAAACATTTCTGATAATGTGTCTCCAAATACATACCTGTTAAATTCTTTGTGTGTGTGTGTATCATGAAGCTAAGGTGTTGATAAGAGAATTTGCTCTTAAGATTTTGGTGATACAATGACTTCTTATTGACATAATGACAATTTTTGGTAATCTAGCAGTCACGATTACATTCCAGGCAATGTTGGTAGGCTGTGTGATCTTTCAAGTCTGGGGAAAGCAAAAACTTCAGCTTCTCTGATGGAAATGGCTTTTAACCAGAAGTTATAAGACCTAGGTTAAACCAAAGCTTTCTTGGCTACCAACAAACTGTCTATATGTTCTCCAGTAAAAACTTGTCTTGCTGGGAGCCAACAATGTTTCTGTATTTATAAGAAGGGGAAAATTAATAATAGCAACCCAACCTATTCACAAGGTTATTGTGGCAAATGAAATCGTAATTGTTAGAGTGTTCAGTAAAATTTTTTGTAAAGCCTCATTGCATGTATAAGTGTTGTGATTTTAATACCTTTCAATATATAGACAGTGAAATTGTATGTACATTTTGATCAGAAAATGTACAAGTAGAATTATTTAGTAGAGGTCTTGCAGGGCCTACACTGGTATGTAATTTCCCTCCCTGCCCCAGAATCCAGCCAGAGATTATGACCTTTACTGTTTCTGTTTTCAGTTCCTCTGCAGCTCATCATCACAGTTAGAAGATCATAAACTTCTGTCTTTTTCTGTAAGAACTTTAGACAGCAGCTAATGACCCTGTGCTACAAATAAAAAAAATTTAGCTCACTAGCACTACATTGCACTTTCGCTCCTCTCACCTCCCAAGTTATATAACCTATACCACGATTTAATGCTTGTATTGCTTCTCTTTTTTAACTTTAAATAATATAATTAAACCTATCACTCTCTTTTTCATTAACTTAGACAGTATCTCTTGGTTTCTCCTTGAGTAAAATAAAGACATTAGTGTCCCTACCACATTTGTCAGCTCTCCTCCTGCCCACCATCTCATAATTTCTTTTAACTATGCCATTATTTTATATCTTCAAAGTTTCTCTTCAACCCTAAATTCTTCCTATTGAATGATGCCAAAATTGATAACCTATAAACACATCTTCCATTCTTATGATTAGATAAAGTGTATTCACAGCAGAACACAGCAGTAAGGTTTGCTTTCCCTCAAAGGGTCTTTGCACAATTCTGCTGAGGCTTCCTTCTTATGGACTTAAAACGCCTAATCTAGGTATCATGGAGAAAGCCTCATCTTATTCTATTCCAACAGACAATTCATGTATAAGAAGATAGTTACAGTACAAGATATACTTAAGTCATCATATCTTGCACTTTCATGAGATTTTTGCCTACGTGAAACTTTGCAATGTCTTTTAGAGAATAATGAAAACCTGCCTCAAAATGCCCATAATAGAAAAGTACAGATTGTAATTGGTTATTACTTCTGTCAATCACTTGGGAAAAAAGAAGAGGGCAGGTTACCTCAAGGGACAGAGTCAATAATGTGGAGACCTTGACCCTGGATCAGTCTATTTTTTAAATCCACCCCTTTTAAGATGGGGGAGAGTGGGGTGAGTTACAGAAAATCTCAGGCCTTTGAAACAAGTAAGGAGAGAGACTCAGGTAGCTGGAGTTTGAGAATGCAGTGTGAGTAATGAATGAATGAATGGATTGATCACTAATACTAAGTAACAAATAAGTGGACTTTTCTGGAAATCTTTAAACTAATGTTTGAATCTTAAGGGTGTGAACCTTTTATTGCTTTAGTAAAATACCTTATTAATTAAGTGGGCTCAGGAGAAGGGACTCTTTTCTTGATCTTTGGCCTTGACTATGCCCTGAAGTAGACTAAGAGAAGGAAATATAATCTTGTGTCATTGAATTGTGCCACTTGAAGGACACAATTCTAAGCATCAGAATCAAATATATTCTTTTGCAAATATTCTTGACTGTATGTTTTTACTCCTGCCTGCATTAAAAAATTTTAATTGTCTGTATTAGCTCTCTGCTACCTTTAACTTTGTTCTTTTGAAGTTACTGTTTTTCATCCTTGGTTTATGTGCTAGGCATGGTGCTAAATGATTTGCAGGCTTTATTTTACTTAATCTCCTCACAGCGTTAATATTGTCATTTTAGAATTGAGAGGATAACTGATGAAACCTAGATTTAAGCTCCCGTCTGACTCCGAGTCACCATTTGTTCCACTCCTGTGCACTGTCCCCACTGCATGCAGTTTGGAGACTGCATGTTCCGAGCAACAGCACAGAACTTTTAGTTTTCCATGTAATCCCTTTACCTCACCTACCCACAGCAGCAGGATGCCAAAAACAGCTCGCCCTGCAAACTGGATATCTGATTTCCAACAATAGCCAATGAGCTCTTGGAGGGAATTATTACTTATGACGTCTTTTTGTAACCCCTGTGCCTGAAATAATAGCTTGGACTAGTAGGAAGTAATAAAACTTTACTGATGATGATGATGATGAAGATAATAACTATTAGCATTTGGTATTAATAGGTGATTTCAATTTCTCTTCCCTTCCCACACACATTTCTTAAAGCTTCAGCCTTTGAAAGCGTCCTACACTTCTCTATCCTGACAGTTTGACTTTAATTCCACACTTCACACCCTGAGCCTCCAGAGAGTGGGAAGCTCAGCTATCAGAACTTTAGAGTCACTGTTCTACTTTTGAAATAAAATACCAATCCTAGGGTGTGGGCCAAAGCACAATAACAGGATGGAGCCGAGACTGAGCACATCTTTCTAGGATGCCAACGTGAAGTTGAATACTTTTCTGAACTATTATTCTTGGATAATAGAGGCATTGTTTAAAACCTGCCTCTTGTAGCACACATGCAACACACTGAGCTCAGCAGCTAAGTAGGCTTTGCTGCAAAGCCAGAGAAAATCTCATCTATAGAATGCTCCAAGCTTTTTGAGATAGTTAAATGGCCTTACAATGGGAACAGCAATATAGTGGCTGACAGTTTTTGTTTTAAATGCTTTCATTTGCTTTAGTTTTAGTTCCAAGCAAAATGCTGTAAATCCTACATGGTGCTTACATTTATAATTTAAATGCACACAGCATTATTATACTGCACTGCAACTCCAGCAGGAGAAGCCCTCTGTTAAATACTGCTAGCACACTAAAGAAGCTCTGTCTCTTATCAGAGCGCGCGCATGTGCGTGCACACACACACACACACACACAGAGGCTTGGTTTATATTTGTGAGCAAGGGGATGCATAGATATGACAAACATTTGATGCTAGAGAGGCCAACCAAGACCCAACCCTAAATGGGAGTGCACACGTAAGCTTTTATACCTTAAAACATTGCAAACAATATCTTGTTATAAGTGTGCTTAAATTGAGGTGACCCAGGCTTATGTTTAGTCCACAAAATAAACACGCTCTGGAAATCAAACAAATCCATATTTTAAAAAAAATCTTCTCTCAAATTACTCATCCTTATTGTCTGTCTCTTCGTGATCAAAACACTTCCCTAAACGCCAGCAATATTCAGAGCATCAAATCGAGGTGTGGCATGGGGCATTGACTTATAAGCACAGAAGGCGTTGCTTTGGCCAGGCATTCATGCGCTGGGTGCTGGATACAGGAGCAATAGGAAGGTGTGGGAGGCCAGGAGGGCTGCGGTGGAGGGCGCTTGGCGGGGGAGTGGGCTCAGGGTGGCAGCTCTTGTTCAATGGTACTGAAGCATCTCAATATTTCAGCTGCTTACCAGACAAATGTTAACCTTGCTGAAAGCTCCTGTAGGTTAACAATAGGTGGCATTAGAATCATGATGCTTAGAAACATAGAAGGTTCTCATCCAGCAGTAGAATAGAAGGGTTTAGAAATTCTCCCAGCTATTGGAAGGGATTTTGGCTTGCTAATTAATCTTCAATGTAAGGATGAATAGTTCTGACTCTGGTTGTCACTGGAAAAATTAAGGAGGGAAAAAACTATATTTCTTGTCTCCCCAATACATCATAATCTCATTTAACTATGTCAACTCTGTAGGAAAGCATATTAATTTACTAGGGCTGCCGTAACAAAGTACCACAGACTGAGTGGCTTAAACACAGAAATTGATTTCCTCACAGTCTGGAGGCAAGAAACTCAAGATTCAGGTGTGGGCAGGGCTGGTTTCCTTCAGAGCCCTTTCTTCTTTGGCTTGTAGATGGCTGTCTTCCCCTCGGTATTCACATAGCCTTCCTTCTGTGCATGTGTGTGTGTCCTAACCTCCTCTTCTTCTAAGGGCACCAGTCAGATGGGACTGGGGCCCACTTTAATGACCTCGTCTAACCTTAATTACCACTTTGAAGACCCTATCCTCCAAAACAGTCCGATTCCCAGCCATTGGGGGTTAGGACTTCAACATAGGGGATTTTTTTGAGAGAGAGGATACAATTCAGCCCATAACAGAAAGTTAGTAATATAACCCCTCTCTTAAAAAATAGTCTATAAAAATGTTTTTTGAAAGTCAGTTTTATTATCGTATGTATTACATATAAAATATGCCCATTTTAAGTATACGGCTTGAATTTTGGCAAATATGTACACGCATGTAAGCAACACCATGATCAAACTACAGAACATTTCTGTCATCCCCAAAGGTTCTCTTGTGCGTCTCTCCTGGCATTGCCCCTTCATCCCTGGCCCCAGACAGCCACTGGTCTGATTTCTTTTCTAGTATTTCACGTAAACGATGTCATAAAGTATGCACTCCACTATGTCTGGCTTCTTGTTCATAGTATATTGCATAATGTATCTGAGATTTATCCATTTTGTTGGTGTATCAGTAGCTTGTTCCATTTTATTGCTGAGTGGTGTTCCATTGTATGGCTATGACACACTTTGTTTATTTATTGTTTACAGATTTTGGCTATTATGAATAGAACTAACGAGAACATTTGGTTGTAGGTCTTTGTATATCCAGGACATATGTTTTCACTTCTCTTGGGTAAATACATAAACATGGAGATGCATCAGATGAGAAGTATGCATTTAACTTTTTAAACTCTTTTTCAAGAGGAATCTGCCGTATTGTTTTCCAAATGGTTGTATGATTTTACATGCGCACTAGCAATGTATGAGAGTTCTAGTTCCTCCATATTCCCACCAATTCTTGGCATTATTGGCCTTTATAACTTTAGCCATTCCCGTGGATATGTAGTGGTATCTCACTGTAGTTTTGAATTTGCATTTTCCTAATGACTGAATAATACTGAATATCTTTTCATGTCCTTATTGGAAAATCATATATCTTCTTTTGTGATTGTCTTTTCAAATATTTTTCTTGCTCTTTAGTAGATTAAGTTATTTTTAAATTTTTTGAGTTCCTTAAGTTTCCTAGATACAAGCCATTTGTTAGATATATATAATGTAAATATTTCCTTTTATGCTTTGGCTTACATTTTCAGTATATTAGTGCCCATTTGAAGAGTAGAATTCTTTCTTTTGATAAAGTTCAACTTAACCATTTTGTCTTTGGTTTTGGCCTTTTGTGTCCTATTTAGGAAATCTTTACTGACTCTAAAGAAGGCAAATTTTATAAATCTGGATTTAATGTTTCAGTTTATGACACATTTTGATTTCTTTTTGTGTGTGGCATGAGGTAAGTGAGCTTCGTTTTTTTCTGCATGTGAGTATCTTATTGTTTCAGAGCATTTGTGGAGAAGACTGTCTTTTCCCCATTGAATTATTATGGCACCCTTGTCAAAAAACAGTTATATAGGAGAAAAGCGTACATTCATTTATTTCTGGAATCTCTATTTTGTTTCATTGATTAAATTCTATTCTCAGGTCAATACTACACTATCTTGATTACTGTAGCTTTATAGTATGTCTCTAAATCCAGTAGTGTGAGTTCTCCATCTTCATGGTTTTAAAAAAAATGTTCTAGCTATTTTAAGCCCTTTTTATTTCCATAGTAACATTGGAATTATCTTATCAATTTCTACAAAGAGGATAACTGAATTTGGATACGAATTGCAATATATCTATAAATCAATTTAAGTAGAACTGACATCTTAATAATATTGAGTCTTTCAATCCATGATGTGGTGTTCCTTAATTTCTCTCAGAAATTTGACACTTTTAAGTATAAAAGGAGTGCATATATTTTGTAAAATTTTTCTCTAAGAATTTTATATTTATTGGCATTATTGTAAACGGTATTTTTTTCAAATTTCATTTTTTGTTACTAAATAAATCGGTTGACTCCGTATATTGATCTTGTGTTCTGCAGCTATAACAAATTCACTTACTAATTCTAGTAGCTATTTTGTATATTTTATTGGATTTATGCATGATTTTGTCATATTCCTTTTCAATCCATATATGTCTTTCATTTTTTTTCTTGCACTATTGCATTGGCCAGGACCTCGCCCCCAGAACAACGTTGAATAGAAGCAGTAAGAGTGAATATGTTTACTTCCTTTCTTAGAAAAAAAGCATATAATTTTTCACCATGTATGTAAGTGTTAGCTGTAGGTTTTTCATAAAAGCGCTTTGTCAGATTCAGGGAGTTCTTTTTAATCCTATTTTGATTGAGAGATTCTATCATAAATAAATATTGAATTTTGTCAAATGCTTTTTCTCTATCTATTGAGATAAGCATATAGGTTTTCTCCTTTATTCTGTTAATATATTGAATTACAATGCCTGATTTTCAAATGTTAGACAACTTTGGACTCTTGAGATAAATCTCACTTATTTTTTTACATTGTTAAATTTTATTTGCTAATATTTAGCTAGTGGTTTTGCTATTTTGGTATTATGTTCATGAGAGCTATTAGCCTACAGGTTTTAATATTTTCTGTTTTTCTTTCTTGTAATATCTTTGGCTGGTTTTGTTATTAGGCTAATACTAGACTCATGGAATTAGTTGTGAGGTGTCCATCCTCTTTGTCATTTCCAAGTCCATTTTTATTAGCTAACTTTTCTCGTGGTTATGTTTCACAATTTACCTCTTTGGGGACATGTATATAATTTTAGTTGCTGTGATGCTGAAAGCTATGCCAACGATATTTCAAATACCAGCAGGGTCACACATGGTGGACAAGTTTCAGTGGAGTTTCCAGACTAAGACAGATTAGGAAGAAGGGCCTGGCACCCACTCGTAAAAAAAATTGCTCATGAAAATCCTTCGAATAGCAGTGGAGCATTGTCTGATATCGCATTAGAAGTGAGAGGATGGCACAAAAAGATCAAGCAGGGTTCCACTCTACCGTAGACAGGGTTGCTAGGGGGCAATGGAACTAACAACAAATATGATTTTAGATTGGATGATGAATATTTGGAACTTTATGTTGTTGAGCTGTTTTTGCTATATTTTGTTGTCTTTATAAAAGATTGTCAGATTTGGTTCTGGAAGGCCTTTAAATATTTTATGAATGAACAGCTTTATTCTTTCAAGACTGGCTTTTAAACTGTGTTAGAGCTTTTCTAGAGTTGTTATTAAGGGTATTTTAGCCCAACTACCCAAGTGTGATCTTCTGGGGTCCTTAATCAAGGCAATCAATGAAGATTTTCCAGTATCATTGGTCAGACCTTGAGTGTCTCTCTGCCCTGTATGATAGCCAAGAGTTCTCAGCATACAACTCCTTATTGGTTATCTACCTGGCTTCAGGAGCTTTACCCTAAGTGTGTGCATAGCTTAATATCCCATTATCAACAGATACAAAGTGACCCATATGCAGATTTTTTGAGGTCTTTCTGATCTAGAACTTGTCAAAGGGCATTCATACGGCTCATAATTTTGTTTCCCTCTTCTCATGGATCATAGTCCAGCTTTGCCTGTTATCCATTGTCTAAAACAGTTGTCCAGTTTTTAAATTGTTTATAGTGGGACAATAAATCTGGTCCCTGTTTTTAACTATGGCCAGGAGCATAATGCTTTTACCTCTTTCTATAGATAAGTATAGAGATTAGAAAGACTAGTATAGTGATGAAGAACAAGGATTTGAGATTTTGTTAGAAACCAAATTTTTGCTGTTTATTACTTGTACTACGTTGAGTAAGTTATTTAACTTTCTGTCTTGGTTTCTATATCTTTAAAATGGAGATGCTTATGATGATGATAATAATACTAAAAATAATAATATTAGAAATTTTCTCTTACTATTATTGTGATGATGAACTGAGATAATGAATGTGAAATTTTTATTTTTTAGCACTGTTCCTGGCACAGAGTGAGTGTTGAATACGGAGTTAGCTAATTAATAATATTGTCCATGATCACTTTGGCAGAATTCCAACTTCAAGTTCAGGAATGTAATATTGATGGACAAGATGGATGTTTTTTCATTATTTATCAAAGCCGTTTTGTTCTGTTTCTTTCCAGAACAGAAAACAGGTATGTTCAGGCCCTCAAGACAAATCCCCTTGAAGCAAAGACAAAGTATATTCATGTAATGGAACATGAGAAGTCTTCTTTGTGTTTGCGGGGAAATTTTAAAGGGAAGATCTGTGGATAATCCATCACAAATTCTCAGTTCAGAGTACCTATTATTTAATTACAATGATGGATATCTTTAATATTAGGCAAAAATTAAGTTTCATTGTCTTGAGACTATTGTCACTCAAAACACAACTTTTAAAGAACATATCCAGTTTTCTTTTTAGAACTTCATAAAATGTTGAATGGCCATAAGTCAGGCTTAACAGAGAAAAATGTTAGGGAGAGCCTGCATGTTTGTTGTTGAAGGTTTGACGATGTTCTATGTTGATCCTTACAAACTTAAAGATGGCAGGTAGACAAGAAATAAGACACAGGTTTGTCAGATATGTAATGGAGTTTTTCAGCTCAGCAAGAAGAATTTAGAAGTCTTTCTCTGCTGGCTAATGCCTGCCAGTGTGTCAGCTGACAACAGCAGAGTATTCTCAGCTGACAATGAGCTCTTGTTAATGTCTTGACTATTGATAGACTTAAATTATAGCCATATTGTCATGCAGAACAAACACATATAAAAGTTTGCCTTTGATCTAAATACAGCCTTTCCTTTGCCACAGTGGCATTTGAACTGTATATCAGAGTAAAAAGCTTATAGTAAGTCAGGCATAAAAAGTAGATCATTTAAATCAGATAATTTAAAAACATCTAATTAATGATAATTTTTGCTTGAAAACAAAATATCCTATTTCAACGGAAGTTTAAGTTGATTTGTAAAAATGCAGACATTATCTCTGAGATGGATGCTACAAAATGCCATGCATATATCTGCAAATTCTTCAGTCCTCTATCACCTTGATTTTTTAAGGATTTAATGTTATACTTGTTAATTTAAAGCACATTCTTTATATACAATTCTTGAACTAGAGTGAATTTCGTTCTTTCATTGTCATTAAAGAGCTTTCCTCTCTCCTGATCCTTTTAAACTCTCTTCCAACAATGCTATGAAAGATCAAGAAAATAGTTTTCTAGAAACCAGAATAATACATCTCTTGTAATAATTTAAATTTCAGGAGAACTTGTTTCTTTGCAGTGCTTTCTGTATTACAAGGCATCTGCTGAGGAGCTCAGTAAAGCATCCTGGAGGGTTGGAATATTTTCCTTCTGAAGACAAATGCTCCATGAGGGGTGCAGTCCAGCCACTGTTGCACCCGGTTAAAGACTTCAATGTTAGAGTTAAGCAAGGGCGAAGCAGCCCTGAAGGGAAAGTATATGTATTGGAGATCCGTGCTCTTTTTTATTCTCTTTCTTTCCTTCTTTCCTCCTTCCTTCTTTTCTTCCTTTCTTCCTTCCTTCTGTTTTTCCTTCTTTTCTTTCTATTTCCCATATTCCTTCTCAAAGAAACAGAAAGAAATACAGATATGCTTGCCAGATGTCTTTGATTAGAATTAGTCCAGACATCAGGAAGCTAAAACCAAGATGATTTATTAATATAATCCCTAAAGCTGGAAGTTTTCAAATACATCGCAACAAAAAAAGGATTTAAAAGGCAATTTCAAATACACCATTCCATCTCCACTATGCTGCCCTCGAACACTGAGATAATTTGGAATCAAGATAAGCTTAGGTAACCATAAAAGTTAAACAGCTGCCACTGGCAGCTTATTAGTCCCAAAACTTTCCATAGAACTTCAACCAACATGACACTTTGATCCCATGTGTCCAGGAAATCGTCAAAGTTCATGAGTTAGCTTTCAAGAGAAGAGTTTGCTTCTGATAGAGTGACACCTAGAGTCACATGATATTTTTAAGAAAATGATACACTGAAAAATAATATCACAATCGTGTATTTATGAAGTGTTGGCTTCTACAAAATGGAGATTTAAGAAAGACTGCTAGAACAAATCATTACATTTCTAAAAACATTAAACATGCACAGAAATATTATCAACCAAAAGAATTGTGAAAAATCTCTATCCTGTTCTCTTATTGAATGCAGTACAGAGTGTCACAAATGCCCTTACATCCTTGTCACACAGGTGAATTACAAATAGGAAGTCAATGGTAATGGTGAGTCGGTTCCCTTACCAGAGGCTGATAAGTGAATCCGTCCCTTTCTCACCTACGACAGATCCCTTTCATTAGTGAGTTCTCATATTCTAATAATCAATCCAAAAATATTCATAATTACGGGAAGATAATACCATTGTCATTTTCACCATCACATTATGAAATTTTGTGTGTTGAGTCCAGTAACTATTTATTAAAAGTAACACATGGAAATATGAATAAAATATATTTATGTACAAAGTGGCATGGCATTTTTTCTACCTAATATTTAGTAATAGACTTGCAAATTTTCCCTGAATTAACATAGTGGAAAACAATAAATACAAACATTAGATAATATGAGAACATCAAGAAAGTAGGAAGTTTCCACGGATGAAAGCTTTTGGCTCTGGAAACCTGAGATGCAAGGGCAGGTCGTGTCATCTCCGAGCCCACCTGCCTGGGCTGTTAGGCTAACTGCTCATAAATGCCCCTCCTCAAATTCACTCTCCTGGGAACACTCCTATAAGATGTAGTAATGTGCTTTTTCCTGTCTCAAAGGGCAAGAGAGGCCCAGGATTCTTTTTGATTCTCTCCAATTATTGCATTCATCTGGACATTCCTTTATTGAGACAGGTGACTGGTGCAGACTGGCAAGCAGGACTGGAAGTCAGCATTAATTCCAGAGAGCTTTCTCCTTTTCTACACCTGGAGCATAGAAGGTGAAGATTAAGTCTGTGGGGGGGAAAACATTCAGATTCCAAGAACGTGAAGAAGTAGAGATGCTGGGGAGACCGTTTCTTGGTAAGAAATGCTCATGACTAGCTGAATTCTTTCCCACCCAATACAGTCACTAGACTGTCTCATAAGCACTTCAAACTCCACGTGTCTGAAAGGAAGACCACTATATTGCCTCCTGAACCTGTGCCCTCTCACTCCAGGATCCCAGTCTCTGCTGTTACCTCCAGGATCCATCCAGGCGCCATGATAGAAGTGTGGACAACATCTATAGTCCTAATTTTCCTTATTCCCAACTCCCACATTCAATCGATCACCACCTCTGGAGAATCCCTATCTTCCAGTTGCTTCTCTATTCTATTCTGCCTCTTCATCTCCATTCCTACAGTCCCTGCAGACCTGGTTAAAGCTCTTGTTCTTTTCCCCTTTCCCTAGGGAATACTGCAGTAGTCTCTGACTTCTCTGCTTCCAATCTTAACACCTCTTGAATGAGTTTTCACATTATATACTCAGTGATGTGTCTTAAGCACAAATATCATCATATTCTTCTTCTGATTAAAGCTCTTAGCTATACATACCCTATCACAAAGGGGCACAGTTCGGGGTCTGTTGCTCGGGCTGATGGGGTGAGTAATTATGAAATTTATGGGCAACTTTCCTGCTTTGCCGCTGTGTACTCATCAGGGAGAAGAAGGAACAGGCATCTCACAGGAAGGAGAGCCAGTGCTTTGGTTTTTACTTTGAGATTTTCTTCTTTTCAGTGCATAAACAACTTTCTGTGTTGGTCCAAAAAGGAGCAGGAGATGGAGGCTTCTGTGCCTCAAGTGGAAAAGGGGCAGGAGCCCGCCCTGGCAGGGGTGAGATGTCATTGTGCAGCTGATTGCAGTGCTGGTGGTTTGCTCGAATCTGGGAGGAGGATGATACAGTGTGGGTGGAAGCGGGCAGTGGTACCAGGGATGGAGACCTGCCCTCTGCTCTTTCACAGCATGGTTGGAAGAGGCAGGGCCTTTGCTAGAGATGATTGCACTGTTGCCTTGTTTGGGGAAAGCCGCACACTGGCTGCCATGGCCTTGGAGCAGTCTGAAGAGCAGAGAGTGGCCAGAGTCCATGTCAAGCATTAGTCTGTGGAGAAGACTGTAGAGCAGGATATCTCTGACGTCCTCATAGAGCATCTGCAGCCGACAGATGGTCCAGCACAAGCCAGGGCATGGCATAGCTCTAGAAGGAACACGATAATTATAGGAATGATTGTGCAACAGGCTCCTCTCTCAAATTTTGGACTAATTTCCTGGGTGAGTTTTATATCCAAGGTCAGAAGGACCTCCGAAATGAATAAATGATTTTCTTGATAGCATTAATGAAGGAGGAGAGCATCTGATATTATTCTACCTAGAAAAATAAAGTTAGCGTTTCAGTCTCACCTTGTGAAATCCTTTACAATTGACATCATGGAGAATGTGGGAAGTTACTTAAAAAGGAAACCTCACAAGGCTATAAGTTGACTTCTCAACAGAAACCTTACAGGCTAGAAGGGAGTGGCATGATGTATTTCAAGTGCTGAGAGGAAAAAACTTACAACCAAGAATGTTCCACCAATCAAGGTATCATTCAGAATGGAAAGAGAGATAAAGAGTTTCCCAGAGAAACAAAAATTGAAGGAGTTTATCACTGGGGCTGGCCCGGTGGCACAGCAGTTAAGTTCACACATTCCGCTTCTCAGTAGCCCAGGGTTCACCTGTTTGGATCCCACGTGTGGATATGGCACCACTTGGCGAAAGCCATGCTGTGGTAGGCATCCCACGTATGAAGTAGAGGAAGATGGGCATGGATGTTAGCTCAGGACCAGTCTTCCTCAGCAAAAAAGAGGAGATTGGGCAGTAGTTAGCTCAGGGCTAATCTTCCAAAAAAAAAAAAAAAAGGAGTTTATCACCAATAAACAAACCTTACAATAAATGCTAAAGGGACTTATTTAAATGGAAAAGAAAAGACTATAAATAGGAATAAGTAAATTATTTCTAAAAACCCAAAACAACAGAATCATGGGTAAAGGTAAATATACAGTAAAGGTAGCAGATCAATTCCCTGTGAAGATAACATGAAGGTCAAAAGACAGAAGTATTAAAATTATCTATTTACATGATGAGAGGGTAATGGATATACACTCACAAAAAAAAGGTTAGATTTGATATTAGAAAACATAAAATGTCGAAAGAGTGGAGTGAAAGAGCAGAGCTTTTAACAAGAGGTCAAACTAAAGAGACAATTGGAGCCAGCCCGGTGGCATAGCGGTTAAGTTCACACGTTCCACTTCAGCAGCCTGTGGTTTGCTGGTTCGGATCCCAGGTGCAGACATGGCACCACTTGGCAAACCAAGCTGTGGTAGGCATCCCACATATAAAGTAGAGGAAGATGCGCATGGATGTTAGCTCAGGGCCAGTCTTCCTCAGCATAAAGTGGATGATTGGCAGCAGATGTTAGCCCAGGGCTAATCTTCCTCAAAAAAATAAATAAAAATAAAAAAAGAAAGAGACCATCAACTTAATATAAATTGCTATATGTGAAAGTTATTATATATGAACCTCATGATAATTGCAAACTAGAAATCTATAATAAATACCCAAAAAAATAAGAGAAGGGAACCCAAACATAATACTAAAGAAAGCCATCAAACCACAAAGGAAGAGAGCAAGAGAAGAAGAAAGGAACAGAGAAGAACTACTAAAACATCCAGAAAAAAAGTAACAAAATGGAAATAAGTACATATTTATCAATAGCCACTTTAAATGTCAAAGGACTAAATGCTCCAATCAAAAGACATAGGGTGGCTCACTGGATAAAAAAGCAAGACCCAAATATATGCTGCATACAAGAGACACACTTCATACCTAAAGACACTCACAAACTGAAAGTGAGAGGATGGAAAAGATACTCCATGCACATGGCAAAGAAAATAAAGCTGGGGTAGCAATACTCATATCAGACAAAATAGACTTTAAAACAAACACTGTAACAAGAAACAAAGAAGGGCACTACATAATGATAAAGGGAACAATCCAACAAGAGGATAAGACACTTATAAATATCTATGCACCCAACATAGGAGCACTTAAATATATAAGGCAATTATTAATAGATATAAAAGGAGGAATGGACAGTAACACAATAATAGTACGGGACTTTAACCCTTCACTTACAACAATGGATAGATCATCTAAACAGAATATCAGTAAGGAAACATTGGCCTTAAATGACACAGTAGACCAGATGGACTCAGTAGATATATAGAGAACATTCCATCCAAAACCCACAGAATACACATTGTTTTCAAATGCACATGGAACATTCTCCTGACTAGATCACATATTAGGCCACAAAATAAGTCTCAATGAATTTAAGAAGACTGAAATAATATCAAGCATCGTTTCTGACTGCAACAGTATGAAACTGGAAATCACCTAAGGAAAACTATCAGAAAAGCTACAAATATGTGAGGATTAAACAACATGCTACTGAACAGTAGGTTCAATGGATAAATCAAAGGAGAAATTAAAAAATACCTGGAGAAAAAAGAAAATAAAAATTCGACATGGCAAAATTTATGGGCTACAGCAAAAGCAGTTGACAGTAATAAAGGCTTACCTCAACAAACAAGAAAAATATCAAATAAACAATCTAACAGTGCACCTAGAGTCACTGGAAATAGAAAAAACAAAGCCCAAAATTGGTAGAAGGAAGGAAATAATAAAATTGACAAACCCTCAGCTGGACACACCAAGAAGAAAAGAGAGAAGGCTCAAATAAATAAAATCAGAGATGAAAGAGGAAAATTACAACAGACATCTCAGAAATACAACAGATTATAAGGGAATACTACAAAAAGCTATATGCCAACAAACTGGATAATCTAAAAGAAATGGATAAATTCTTAGAATCATAGAACCTTCAAAAACTCAATCAAAAAGAAATAGAGAATCTGAATAGACCAATCACCAGTAAGGAGATCAAAACAGTAATCAAAAACCTCTCAAAAAATGAAAGTGCAGGACCAGACAGCTTCCTTGGGGAAATTCTACCAAACATTCAAAGAAGACTTAATACCTATCCTTCTCAAACTCTTCCAAAAGATTGAAGAGGAAGGGAAGCTCCCTAACTCATTCTATGAAGCCAACTTTAACCTGATACCAAAAGCAGACAAGGACAACACAAAAAAAGAAAATTACAGGCCCATATCACTCATGAACATCAATGCAAAAATCCTCAACAAAATACTGGCAAATCAAATATGACAATACATTAAAAATATCACACACTATGATCAAGTGGGATTTATTCCAGGGATGCATGGATGGCTCAGTATCTGCAAGTCAATCAAAACGGTACACCACATTAACAAAATGAAGAATAAAAATTTCATGGTCATCTTAATAGTTGCAGAGAAAGCATTTGACAAGATACAGCACCCATTTATGATAAAAACTCTGAATAAAGTACATATAAAAGGAAAGTACCTCACCATAATAAAGGCCATATATGACAAGACCACAGCTAATATCATTCTCAATGGAGAAAACCTGAAAGCTATCCTTTTAAGAACAGGAACCAGACATAGATGCCCACTTTCACCACTCTTATTTAACATGGTATTGGAACTCCTAGCCAGAGCAATCAGGCAAGAAAAAGAAATAAAAGGGATCCAAATTGGAAAGGAAGAAGTGAAACTGTCACTATTTGCAGATGACATGATTTTATATATAGAAAATCCTAAAAAATCTACCAAAAAACTTTTATAAATAATAAATGAATATGGTTAAGTTGCAGGATACAAAATTGACATACAAAAAATCAGTTGTGTTTCTATACAATAACAATGAAGAGCAGGAAGAGAAATCAAGAATACAATCTTATTCACAATGACAATAAAAATAATAAAATACCTAGGAATAAACAACCAAAGAGGTGAAAGATCTGTACACTGAAAACTATAAAACCTTGCTGAAAGAAATTGAAGAAAACACAAATTGAAAGATATTCCATGCTTTTGGATTGGAAGAATTAACATAGTTAAAATGCCCATACTTCCTAAAGCAATCTACAGATTCAGTGCAATCCCTATCAAAGTTCCAACAACATTTTTCACAGAAATAGAGCAAAGAATGATAAAATTTATAGGGAACAACAAAAGACCCCGAATAGCCAAAAGAACCTTGAGAAAAAAGAACAAAGCTGAAGGTATCACATTTCCTGATTTCAAAATATGCTACAAAGCTATCATAACTAAAACAGTGTGGTACCAGCAGAAAAACAGGCACACAGATCAATGGAACAGAATTGAAAGTCCAGAAATAAACCCATACATCTATGAACAGCTGATTTTCCACAAGGGAGCCAAGAACATACAATGGAGTAAGGAAAGTCTCTTCAATAAATTGTGTTGGGAAAACTGGACAGCCACGTGCAAAAGAATTCAAGTAGATCATTATCTTACACCATAGAGTAAAATTAACTTAAAATGGATACTAAAGACTTGAATGTAAGACCTGAAACCATGAAACTTCTAGAAGAAAACATAGGCAGTATGTTCTTTGACACCAGTCTTAGCAGCATATTTTCAAGTACTATGTCTGACCGGGCAAGGGAAACAATAGAAAAAATAAACAAATGGGACTACATCAAACTAAAAAGTTTCTGCACAGCAAAGGGAATCATCAACAGACTGAAAAAGACAATTTAACAATTGGGAGAACATATCTGCAAACAATATGTCTGATAAGGGGTTAATATCCAAAATATATAAAGAACTCATATATCTCAACAACCAAAAAAACTAACAGCCCAGTTAAAAAATGGGCAAAAGATCTGAACAGACATTTCTCCAATGAAGATATACAGATGGCCAACAGGCACATGAAAAGATATTCAATATCACTATCAGGGCAATGCAAATCAAAGCTACAATGAGATATCACCTCACTCCAGTCAGAATGGCTATAATTAACAAGACAGGAAACAAGTTTTGGAGAGGATGTGGAGAGAAGGGCACCCTCATACACTGCTGGTGGGAGTGCAAACTTGTGCAGCCACTATGAAAAACACTATGGAGATTCCTCAAAAAATTAAGAATAGATCTACTGTATCATCCAACTATTCCACTGCTGGGTATTTATCCAAAGAACATGAAAGCACGAATGTGTAAAGATATATGCATCCTTACGTTCACG